GTGGGGTTTGGGGGTGTTTGGGGTGGTTTTGGGGGTTTATTTGGGTTATTGGGGTGTCTGGGGCACCGTGCTGCCCGTGCCGCCGCTGTCCGTGCACCCGGCCGTGGTCATGCAGGGCTCTGCCCGCAACCAGGTGGGGTTTGGGGTCAGATTTTGGGGTTTGGGGTCAGACTGTGGGGTTTTGGGGGTCAGACTGTGGGGTTTGGGGGTGTTTGGGGTGGTTTTGGGGGTTTATTTGGGTTATTGGGGTGGTATTGGGGTGTCTGGGGCACCGTGCTGCCCGTGCCGCCGCTGTCCGTGCGCCCGGCCATGGTCCTGCAGGGCTCTGCCCGCAACCAGGTGGGGTTTGGGGTCAGACTGTGGGGTTTTGGGTCAGACTGTGGGGTTTGGGGTCAGACTGTGGGGTTTGGGGTCAGATTGTGGGGTTTTGGGGGTGTTTTTGGGGTGGTTTTGGGGGTTTATTTGGGTTATTGGGGTGGTATTGGGGTGTTTGGGGGGCACCGTGCTGCCCGTGCCGCCGCTGTCCGTGCGCCCGGCCGTGGTCATGCAGGGCTCTGCCCGTAACCAGGTGGGGTTTGGGGTCAGACTGTGGGGTTTTGGGGGTGTTTGGGGTGGTTTTGGGGGTTTATTTGGGTTATTGGGGTGTCTGGGGCACCGTGCTGCCCGTGCCACCGCTGTCCGTGCGCCCGGCCGTGGTCATGCAGGGCTCTGCCCGTAACCAGGTGGGGTTTGGGGTCAGACTGTGGGGTTTTGGGTCAGATTGTGGGGTTTTGGGTCAGATTGTGGGGTTTGGAGTCAGACTGTGGGGTTTTGGGGTCAGATTGTGAGGTTTTAGGGGTGTTTAAGGTAGTTTTAGGGTGGTTTTGGGGGTCCTAGGATTGGTATTGGGGTGTTTGGGGGGCATCGTGCTGCCCATGTCCCCAGCAGTGGTCATGCAGGGCTTTGTCTGCACCCAGGTGGGGTTTTGGGGTGATTCTGTGGGGTTTTGGGGTCAGTTTGGGGTGGTTTTTGGGTCAGTTTGGGGTGGTTTTGGGGGTGTTTGGGGCAGTTTTGGGGTGTTTGGGGCTGCCCGTGTCCCCAGCCGTGGTCATGCAGGGCTCTGCCGGCACCCAGGTGGGCACTGGGGCAGCTTTTGGGGTGTCCCAGGGTGGGTGTTGGGGTCCCTGATGCCTTTTGGGGTCTCCTCACTTCTTTGGGGTCCCCAGTCCCCTTTTGGGGTCACCCCCAAGACTCTTTGGGCTATCCCTGTTTTATTCCCACCCCAAATCCACCCTGCACCTTTCCCACGGCGTTTTGGTTTTCTCACCTCTTTATCGCTGTCAAACCTCCTAATCAATAAATTCTGGGGGATCACCCCACTAATTTTGGGGTGTCCCCAGGATGACCTGACCCACAAACTGGCCGACATCGTCAAGATCAACAACCAGCTGCGGCGCAACGAGCAGAACGGGGCGGCCGCGCACGTCATCGCCGAGGACGTCAAGCTGCTGCAGTTCCACGTGGCCACCATGGTGGACAACGAGCTGCCCGGCCTGCCCCGGGTACAGAGGGGTCACAGGGGGGTTTTGGGGTGTCCTAGAGAGATTTTAGGGGGTCACAGAAGGGTTTTGGGGTGGCGCGAGGCGAGGGACATTCAGCCGGTGTCCCCAAGTCGTGGCCGTGGACGTCGAGCTGCTGTAGGTCCACGTGGCCACCGTGGTGGACAACGAGCTGCCCAGGGTCCAGGAGAGTCTGGGGGGGTCACGGGGGTTTTGGGGTGTCACAGAGGAGTTTTGGGGTGTCACAGAGGGGTTTTGGGGTGCCCCAGATGGGTTTTGGGGTGTCCCAGAGAGGTTCTGGGGTGTTCCAGATGGGTTTTGGGGTGTCCCAGCTGGGACACAAAGGGGACAAGCAGGGACAGAGCAGCCCGGGAACCCCCAAAGTCCCAGCAGGAGCTGGGGACATTCCCAGGGTGATCAATTTGTGTCCCCCTGTGGATTTTGGATTTTTGGGGTGATTTTGGTGGTTCCAACCCCCCCTGAACCCCAATTTCTCCTCCCCAAGCCATGCACAATTTAGGGGCTCCCCCAAATGTCTTTTGCTCCCCCAAACCCCTCCCTGAACCCTCCCAAGAACCCAGGGTGATCGATTTGTGTCCCCCGGTGAATTTTGGATTTTTGGGGTGATTTTTGGGTTCCAACCCGCCCTGAACCCCCAATTTCTCCTCCCCCAGGCCATGCAGAAGTCGGGGCGCCCCCTGAAGTCCCTGAAGCAGCGGCTGAAGGGGAAGGAGGGTCGGGTTCGGGGCAACCTCATGGGCAAACGGGTGGATTTCTCCGCCCGCACCGTCATCACGCCCGACCCCAACCTGGCCATCGATCAGGTGGGCGTCCCCCGCTCCATCGCCGCCAACATGACCTTCGCCGAGATCGTCACGCCCTTCAACATCGACAGGTGGCCTTGGGGGGGATCTGGGGGGCTTTGGGATGGATTGATGGAGCTCTGGGATGGATTTATGGGGGTTTGGGATGGATTTATGGAGGTTTGAAGAAGATTTATGGAGGTTTGGGATGGATTTATGGGGGTTTGGGGTGGATTTATGGAGGTTTGGGATGGATTTATGGGGGTTTGGGATGGATTTATGGGG